GAAATCGTTAATGACGGATTGAGCCCTATTAATCCAAGAGTTGTATTTCTCGGAATCTCCCTCGAAAGTCACGAGCTCCCTTACGCAATCCGGTACGGCGGAAGACTCCTTGAGTTTGTACTCCGTACGCGGGCGCATTAATGGTAGCGGTATCTCTGGTACCGGGTTGCGTCGCTCGAAGTCAGTTTCTAAAACGTTCACCCTATTTCCTATTTTCCTAACCTCTTCCTTCATGCTCACCATCTGATTGGTTAAGGCCGAAATGGTAGCATCAAGGCGGTTTAAAACTTCTTTCATTTCCTCCATTTTTATAGTTAAATTTCTCTCAGGTTTTTTTTTTATTTAATTTTGGATCGAAGCAGGGAATTTAGCAACAGTTTTCCGCGTTTTTGTTAATTAATTTCTATTTTACTTGTATTTTTTTATTAGCATTAACAGACGTGGGTTTAAAGAATCGTTTCACTTACCCTCAGTATTTTCCTCCTTTTTCTTGTTTATGTGGTTGTAATCTTTCAGTGTTTCTAGTATTTCGAAGTCTTCTGTTTTCTTCTTACAGGATTATTATTCTTAGTATGTGATTTTCTTTTTGTTTGGGAAAAAAAACAAAATTGTAATTTTCGTTTGAGCGTTGTGCGATTTTTAATAAAATTCGTGTTTTCTTTTTCTTTGTTTTGGTACTTTATTTTTGTATTTCTGTGTAATTGTGTTTATCGGCGCGGTGGTCCGTATTTATCCGTTTTGGCATTGTGCCTACTAAGGTACGGTTGCCACACAATCCACTGGGCAGCTTTTTCTGAATGCATTCCACATCCGTTAGCCTTTCCAGCAGATTGCCACTTACACGACACATTTTTTATAATTGGAAAAAATTTTCTTGTTCTTTTTTTTAATTTAAAATTGGTTTATAATTTTTGCCGCTCGCAAATTAATTGCCGCAGCGGTTGTCTGTGTTTATTTTTTTTTAAATTGCAATTTTTTGCACTACCGCTGCTGTGTCTCTGCTGGTCGTCGGGCTGGCTGAGTGGGGTGATGAGGGAAGTCGCGGAGTCAGGTATCCGGGTCGAGAGGCGGTGAAGGGAAGGGGGCGTTTGGCCGGTGTTAACTTATATTATGAGGTCACAACCATACGGAATGTAGGAACAATTTACAAAAATAAATAAACATTGAAAAAAGACGCTTACAAATTAAATTCATATTACGTCAAGTCCTCTTTGATGTAAGACAAATCCTCTTTGATTTAAGACAAGTCTTGGAAACAGCTAAAATGTGCTCGTTTAATTTTGATATGTCAGAAATCAAAAGAGCGATGATAAGTTTATACACCACATGGTCACAAGCGAAGCTAAATCGAATGAATAGTTTCCGCAATCATTAGATTTATTGTGTTGTTAGAATTGTGTTTTTTTTTTAGAATACATTATAAATTAGCTAACAAACACTTAAAATCGGAACATTTTCAGAACAGGGACGTCATCGGCAGTTTTTAAACGATATAACGTTCAAGCATTAAGTTTCGCTGATTAAGTTATTCATGGCGTCAGTTTCTGATACCAAATTTTTATTAAATAAGAAAAAGCGCTTTAGTCGAGTGCCGCGACTATAAGATACCTATCGGGAGCAGTTATTTATTTTAAATTAAAATCACTGTTTGTTATTTGATCAGCATCTTGTCAACCAAAATAATTCCGACTTGCATACATGCACTTTTGCGATCTCCAAACGCATTTTTTGTTGTAATCAGAAATCAACCGGGTTTTTACGAACAACTCTACCATGTATACCAGAATTGTGCAGGGTGTTCCGGATGGTTGGGAACAAAATTTTTTTCTGATTGCTTCTCTAGGGTTTTAAAAATTGTTGTGGATGTAATTCTGGTATTTTGTAATGACGTATTTACAACTTTTCAGATTTTCTATTATTTTTAAGTTGAAATTAGTTAATTTTATGCTTAAAATATATGCTCGAAATGTATATCTTTCATTTGAGATATTACATTTTAATTTTCGTTACGTATTTCTTGAGATATTAAGGAATAAACTTCCAAATCATGGGTGTACGAATAAATTATGTGCCGACTGTATATTCTTGATCAGGATCAATAGCAAAGTCGGTTGAGCCATGTCCGTCTGTCCGTCCGTCCGTTCTATGAACGCTGAGATCTCAGGAACTATAAGAGATAGAAAGTTGAGATTAGGCATGAAGGTTCTTGGGGTCCATGCGCAGCGCAAGTTTATTTCCGCATCCTGCCACGCCCACTCTAACGCGTCTGTAATATTATTATGAATGCCTTCGTTTGACCTTGTATAACTTATTTCTGTCATTATCTATCGATTTACCAAAGATTTTTTTAAATCGGAACATTGTTTCGCTATTTATGAAGAATGGGCAGTGACGTCACTATCACTATCGCTGAAATCTCGGTAACTATTAAAGCGAGAATGTCCTTCTGTCCGTCTGGAGGTCCAGGGACAGCGCAAGTTTATTTCGGCATCCTGCCAGGCCCACTCTAACGCCCACAAATCCAGAAAAACTAAAATTGCTGAAATCTCGGGAACTATTAGAGCTAGAATGTTGACATTCAGTATGTAAAATTTTTGGAGGCCAGTGCATCTTATAGTGGTACTATTATCCGGCCACACCCACCCATACGCCAACCAAGCTCAAACGACGGTTTTCGAATTTTCAAGAAAACCTGATATCTCCGTAACTATAAGGGAAAGAAAGTTCGGATTAAGCATGTAGGTTTTTATGATGCCCCAAATGCGTATTGTTTTTTTCCATCTTGCCACGCCCACCCTTACGCCCACAAAACCCGTAAAACCAAAAATGGGAACTAAAAGAGCTAGAAAGTTGGGCCTAGGAATATGTATTTTAGAGAAGAGAAATTCGTAGAGAAGAAAATATTGGTTGATATGTGGTTTCATCAAGGCGGTGCCACATGCCACACGCGCCTTGATTTTTTGTATGTTTCCGTGAAGTATTTAGTCTATGTAGACAATCCAAACACGATTAAAGCCTTAGAGGATACCATAACACACGTGATTCGTGGGATACTGGCAAAAATGCTCAAGCACTATAAGCTTTTTAATACATCTTTTTAACCGCGGCACGTTTATGCGCTGCTGATAGCATAGTAGCTATTCGATCTTTGTGTTTTCACTCTGTATCACATTTAGTGTCTCGCTTTACCACTTTGGCAATGACAAGTAACTTATAATTGTTTTCGCTTGCGAAACAAATAGTTGGCATTCAGTTCTGATGCATCGACACTCTTTTAATCTATCGGCAGGATCAATTTATAATTGGAAACTTTATTTTTTGTGTATTGGGTGATTCTTTTTACAGGACTCACATATGGATATTTTGTCGATTATCGAATCATGTTGAATCTCTTATACAATTCTTTACCGTGTTTTTAAGTCGTTATATTAAGCTGGTTGTTGGGATGATGAAACGTTATGTCAAACGAAGATTTAAGGAAGCTTCGATCATATAGTGGTTATATCTAGTGCCGGTACTTTCCAACAATAACTTTGCAGTATCACACTGCGGATAACTGCATTTCCGAGTAGAAATAGTAATCCTAGCTAGCTGAACTTTATCAATACTTCTTCTTATTTTCTTGTTGTAGCCGTGAAACTTTTTTAATATTTAAATAAAACCCGTATGCTTGTATCCTTAATTTAATTTAATTTATTAAAACTTGCCCTTTTAACGTCTAAAAAGCCAAATAACATGGAAAGCCGGAAGCTGAATTAGGCGAAAAATATAAAAATTCAAGCTTTTAACGTATAACAAGCTGATTCGACGGGAGCAAAGTTATAAGATTTAAAAAAAGAGTGAGAAGATGAAGATGAAAAGTCGATAGCTCGGAGGAATCGCTGTCGAAAACTATCTGCATGTAGCAAGAACGTTGAGATGTTTTGTCGTTAACTTGTTGCTATATGTGTGCATTTGTACAGCAAAGCGGTTAAAGAAAAATATGAAATCAAATACTTAAATTATTTTTAGCTTCCTGACGGATTTGTTTAATACAAAGTTGGGATTAACATGTAGTTTTTTATAATGCCCCCAATGCGAATTAGGTTTTCCCCATCTGGCCACGCCCACTGTAAAACACATTTTCATACTGCCAATATATCTATATATATTCTGACCCTATAAAGAATATATATTCTTGATTAGGATCAATAGCAAATTCGAATTTGCTTAGTCTGCGTATGAACGCAGAGATCCCAGGAACTATAAGATGTTGCCATTATCCGGCCACGCTTGAAAAACAGTTTCCTCTTTTTGTAGGAACTCTGATATCTCGGGGACTACGTAAAATAAGTTTGAGATTAATCTTAAAGTTTATTCGATGAAGCTACCAAAGCGTATTATATTAACGCAACTGGCCACGTCCGCACTAACGCCCAAAAACCGCCGAAAACTTTGGTGTCCATAATATTGTGATGTGATATATGATGTGTTTCTTATAGTCGCGGCACCCGATTATAGCGTTTCTGTTTTTTTAACAGCACTGGAAGAGTGTGTCAACTTATGATTTTATTGTGATGTATACCAATATAATGTCAATCTGCTCATGGGACATTGTCTTCCATAAATTTATTGGTGGCGTTAACAAACGGGTGAAGTGAACTGATGGGCATTCACTGGGAAGCGTTGCATTTAGCAACAACAAACTAATCTCCGACAAATGTATTTATTATTTTGAATTTACAGTTATTCTGTCGAATATTCAACTTTTAAAATTGAGCATACTCATAAAAAATGTGTCTGGAAAAAGAGTGAAAAAAAATCAATACCTAACCCCTTAATAATATACACCCTGTTAAGCCGGCATTTGTGAAAAAATTTTCAAAAACCTATCTTCTGAAACCTTATTGTTTACTGTCTGAATTGTTAAGAGTGTAACAAAAAAAATGGACGCGAACTGCCATGTTAATTTCATAATTTCAATTGTTTTGGGATTTTAATTGTAAACAATTTTGTTCTAGGTGAAGCTGCTGCTTCTAGGCGCTGGGGAATCTGGCAAGTCAACTTTCCTTAAACAAATGCGAATCATCCATGGTGTAAATTTCGATTATGAACTGCTGCGCGAATATCAAAATGTGATATACCAAAACGTTGTAAGAGGTACGTAAATATACATTGGACCAAATATGATTTTGTTTGATCAACAACGTTAAAGGTATGCAAGTATTGTTGGACGCTCGGGAAAAACTGGATATAGCTTGGGGAACCGACGGCAGAGAACAGGATGCTAACGAAGCAAAGTTAATGGAATGTAAGGTATTAGAGTCGCCCAGGTTTATTGAATTAGCTCCACAAATTCGACGCTTGTGGCAAGATCGTGGAATAAGAAGAGCTTTTGAAAGAAGACGCGAGTTTCAAATCGTAAGCAATCCAATGCTAAACAACTGAAACGCTATAGTCGAGTGTCGCGACTATCAGATACCCGTTATCGTTACCAATTTTAAAATAATAATTTTTCTGGAAATTGATTTTATATAAAGCATATTTATTAACCGACTGTGACGTCACTGTTCCTGTGAGGCATTATAACCAACATTTTATAATTAGTTACTAAAAAAATATCAGATTTTAACCATTTAAGGTATAGTGGTAGGTATTGACAAAAAAACATGAGGTCAAACCAAACCATTAATCTTAATAAAATAGATACCACAGCATTTTGCGGTTAGTGGGCGTTATAATAGGGGTGGCCGGATGATGAAGACATCTCTAGACATGCATGCGAAATCCAAAAATTTTAGCTCTTATACTTTTCGAGAACTTAGCATTTGTGGTGCTCCTCGTTTTTTGGGCGGGTAGCCGCCGCATACCAAAAAAAAAAAATGGCGCTGCTAAAGCAACTCTAAAATCATGCTAAGCATGCTTCGACCAAACTCAATATAAAGGCCCTATAAAGCATATGTGTTAATGATTTCAATTTGGTCATGTCCATCTGTTCTGCAGTATAATCGCATTTTATTTTAGATTAGCGGATAACTGGAATTAATAAAATTGGAACTTTATTTCACAGTAGATTATGGTTATAAGGCCTTGCATGGGCCAAGAAGTTTTAACAATAGATTGATAAAAAATGATGAAATTACTAAAGTCTTTTTGCTGCTATTTTTTTGAAATTAGCCAAGTAGGCAAACGAAGTAATGGGTAATTTGTAGTCACTGGATTTGACTATAGCTTGTTTTGTTCTTTTTTTTTTATAAATTTTGAATATTCTATTTTTAGAGCGATTCGGTTAGCTACTTTCTAGACGAAATAGAGCGGCTGGCTAAACCGGATTATGTGCCAACACATAAGGACATTTTGCATTGCCGTAAGGCAACCAAAGGGGTTTATGAGTTTTGTGTTAAAGTACAGGTAAGTGTTACAAGTAACCATGAGATTAACATAAAATTTATTTTTGATATTTATAGAACATTCCTTTTGTGTTTGTTGATGTGGGTGGTCAGCGAACGCAGCGTCAAAAATGGACTAAATGTTTTGATAGCTCTGTAACATCAATTATATTCCTTGTATCAAGTTCGGAGTTTGATCAAGTTCTTGCGGAAGACAGGTAAATCCAACAAAATTAATGAAGAGAGTCAGAAAACTATATTGTTTCCGTTACAGAAAAACGAATCGTCTAGAAGAATCAAAGAATATATTCGATACGATTGTCAACAACAGCACATTCAAAGGAATATCAATTATCTTATTTTTGAACAAGACCGACTTGCTTGAACAGAAAGTTCGTAATCCAGAGACTGATATTCGCTGGTATTATCCTCGATTTAGTGGTAATCCACATTCAGTTTTTGATGTTCAGAACTTCATACTACAAATGTTTATAGGCGTTCATCGCAGTGCCAGCATAAGTAGAATTTACCACCATTTTACGACAGCCATAGATACGCGAAATATTAATGTAGTGTTTAATTCAGTAAAGGACACAATACTGCAGCGTAATTTAAACGCTCTTATGCTTCAGTAGCTGTAATTAAATAATAAAAACATGAATATATTGTTTATGTATTATATATATTCTTAAAAAGCGAATGTGTCAGAATGTGTGTTTAATTTTTGGACTCGAGGAAAATTCACAATCATGTAAAAGACATTCGATGGAGTATGTTGATCAACCAAGAGTTTTTAATTGCTATAAAATAAATAAACCGTTGCAGTTCAATTTCCAAATTGTATTCCGAGTTCAATTCAAACCCAAATCAGCTCCGCAACAAAACCGCTCCGAAGCGCATGCGAAAATGAGATAATCAAAACAAACTGGAAACTGCTGATATGCCCGCCGCTGCTCAACCGTCTTTGTTTTTGGTTGCTTGGCCCAACATCCTCCCCCGGTCAAGGCTGGCCCTTCAACAAAGTTCTTAGGGGGTAGCATACCAAGTCGAGACCACCGCACACCTTGTCGTTCCAACAGCTGTCTTAAGTACGGCAACACGGTTAAGTATTACAGAGAGTGGTCGAGACACCGCTTTGTAGAACTGCTGTAGCTCGAAGATTTTATTATACCCGTTACTCGTATAGTAAAAGGGTATACTAGATTCGTTGAAAACGTTGTGTAACAGATAGAAGGAAGCTTTTCCGACCCTATAAAGTATATATATTCTTGATCAGGATCAATAGCGAAGTCGATTGAGCCATGTCCGTCTGTCCGTCCGTCGGTCCGTCCGTATGAACACTGAGATCTCAGGAACTATTACAGATGCAACGTTGAGATTAAGCATGAAGATTCTTGAGGTCCCGGGACAGCGCAAGAGTATTTCAGCATCTTGCCCACTCTAACGCCCACAAATCAAGAAAAATTAAAATCGCTTAAATCTCGCAAACTATTAGAGCTAGAAAGTCGAATTTCAGTATGTATAAACTTCGCATCTTTTAGTGGTACCGGCACACCCACCCATACGCCCACCTAGCTCAAAAGACGGTTTTCGCATTTTCAAGAAAACCTGATATCTCGGTAACTATAAATGATAGAACGTTCATGTAGGTTTTTATGATGCCCCAAATGCGAATTGTTTTTTCCATCTAGCCACGCCCACCCTTATGCCCACAAAACACGTAAAACCAAAAATGGGAACTAAAATAGCTAGAAAGTTGGGCTTAGGAATATGTATTTTAGAGATGCCCTTGCAACGAGTTTTCATCCAGCCACGTCCACTCTAATGCCCACAAACAGAGGAAATCTGTGGGGTCCATAAGATTATAGTGTACGAGGTGTGTTCAAAAAGTAAGGTGACTCTTCAAATTTCGCGAATTTCAAATTTTTCGATTATCGATTTTTTTGTTTTGTTATATTGGTACACTCTTCCCTAACATCTGTACCAAGTTTCAATGGAACATCCTCTTTTGTTTGGTTGTGAGAGGCGTAAAGTTACAAGTTATTTTGCGAGCTCGGCGATTTTTGCTATCGAAAAATATGGATCAAAGGATTTGGATTTTTGGCCAAAAACAACACCACAATAATGCCTCAGCCACCATATTCACCGGATTTGGCCCCATGTGACTTTTTCTTGTTCCCAAAACTGAAGATAATCGAAAAATTTGAAAAATTTGAAATTTGAAAAGTCACCTTACTTTTTGAACACACCTCGTATAACTTCTAAAAGGTTTCGATAATCGAAAAATTTGAAATTCGCGAAATTTGAAGAGTCACCTTACTTTTTGAACACACCTCGTATGTCTTCGTTTGACTTTGCACAACATTTTTTTGTCAATATCTATTGATTTACCAAAGATTTTTCAAATCGGAACAATATTTTGCTATTTATGATGAAACGTAAGTTATAAAGCCTTACATAGTCAGTGACGTCCCTGAGCTCCACCTGCCACTCTCGCGGCTGAGGAGGTTGAGCTACAAAACCTGAAAAATCGTCTGGCTACCTATATTGACCGTGTGCGTAATTTGGAGACGGAGAATTCCCGTGTCAGCATCGAGGTGCATACCACCAGGAACACGATCACCCGCGGGACGACCAATATCAAGAACATGTTTGAGGCTGAGCTGCTGGAGTCGTCATGATACAGCCAGGGATCGTGCCCGAGGCGAGATCGATAGCAAGCGTCTGTGGGGGAGAACGCGGAGCTAAAGGACCGTCTGCACAAGAAAAACAATGAGTGCAGCACTGCTGAGGGAAATCCCCGCATGTACGAGTCGAGTTTCAGTGAGCTGAGCCAATTCAACCTGGCCAATGCCAATCGGAAGAAGATTACTGATGAATTGATCGATATGACCAAGGAATTGAATTGTCAGCGCCAGCAGTTCGAGAACACGCGCAATGTTTTAGAGCAGGAGACATTGTCGCGTTTTGACTTGAAAAGTACCATTCAGAGCCTGAGTGATTGTGTTCGTATTGACGGCTAAATGCCAAGACTCACGATTTTGAGCTCGTACGTGAATTGAAACAGGAACTAGATAACACTCGCGAGCGTCACGGCTAGAGGTTGCTCAGCTCGAGAAGGAGTTTATTCGACTGCGCGAAGAGATGACCCAACTGCAGAAGTACCAGGGCATCGAGGTCTCACTGGATTTGGAAATCGTTGCCTACGACAAGTGTCAGCCAGTGCCAAAGGCAACAAGGAGAACAAGGAGATCGATCCCGAGAGCAAGTTCGTGAATCATAAGGGAACAACAAGACAACCATTGGAGGCTGGCAGCTGCAGCGTTTAGATCTGTAAAACTGATCCGTATTGCCATACTAAAGACAGCTGTTGGAATGAAAAATTTATTTTATTTGACTTTTTTGTGTTATTAAGGAAATTATCTAGTATTTAAGTTGAAACTGGTTATTTTTATACCCGTTACTCGTAGAGTAAAGGGGTATACTAGATTCGTTTAAAAGTATGTAACAGATAGAGGAAAGCGTTTCCGACCCTATAAAGTTTATATATTCTTGATCAGGATCAATAGCTAAGTGGATTGAGCCATGTCCGTCTGTCCGTCCGTCCGTCCGTATGAACGCTGAGATCTCAGGAACTATAACAGATACAAAGTTGAGATTAAGCATGAAGATTCTTGAGGTCCCGGAACAGCGCAAGTTTATTTCAGCATCCAGCCACGCCCACTCTAATCGCGAACAACTAAAATCGCTAAAATCTCGGGAACTATAGAGCTAGAAAGTTGAAATTCAGTATGTATAAACTTTGGATGCTAGTATGGTGGCCATACCCACCCATACCCCCACCAAGCTCAAAAGACGGATTTCGCATTTTAAAGAAAACCTGATATCTCGGTAACTATAAGTGATGAAAAGTACGGATTAAGCATGTAGATTTTTATGATTTGTTTTGTTCGATCTAGCCACGCCCACAAAACCCGATACAACCAAAATGCAAAAATCTCGGGAACTAAAAGAGCTAGAATAAGAATAAGAATACGTATTTTAGGGTTGCCACTGCAACTTCCCACGAGTATTTATCCGGCACGCCTACTCTAACGCACACTGTGGCGTCTATAATAATATGAATGCCTTCGGTTGACGTTGTATAACTTATTTCTGTTAATATCTATCGATTTACCAAAGATATTTCAAATCGAAACATTATTTTGCTACTTTTGAAGAAATTTAGGTTATAAGGCCTCACATGGGCAATGACGTCACTATCAGTTACTCGACATGCTTTCTCCGACAATAGGTGGCGCTTAGGTAATTTCCACTAGCAAAATTAATATTTTAAAATTGTGTGAACCAATAACGGGTATCTTATAGTCGCGGCACTCGACTATAGCGTGTCCTCTTGTTACTTTTTAAGATACAATCTTGACATGTATGTCTTTTATATGAGATATTACATTTTTATTTAACATATTTCTAGAGATATTAAAGAACAAGCTTGTAGTGAGTACTGTTACTCCCATGTTTGTGTATTCCCCAAAACAGTTTAGCTGATAAATAATGACTGATTTTCTTATATGACCCGCAGGTCAATGTAATATGTTCTGTATTTATTGAATATCCAAATGAGAGTGAGTGTTACAATAAACGGCTCGCGGCTGTGCTGCTACGTATGTTTATGCTCTTACATAAAGCGAGAGCGCGAGAGAGCATCCATTTGCAAATTAACAACCAGCTCCCAGCACAGGCTAGACAGGTTAAATTTAAATTTAATTTTCTTATTTTACTAATCTCATTCCTATATTTTTTTACAAATCACTTTATTATTTTTTATATATTATTCTTATAAATTTTTTATATCATACTTATCTTTTATGTCCAGCCTAATTTTGTACTGCCCTTATGGTATCCGAGAGCTGAGCCAGCAAAGTGCCCCGCTAGGGCTTGGTTAGTCTCATTGGTGGTTAGGGATCGTACTACTCGTGCCATTTGTGCTTGGTCAGCGGTCTGCCAAGGGCATCCGGCCTTTGCATTTATGTTAACTTTAGAGTTTAGGTTAATTTTATATTCAATATAGCGATGATCGCTAGAAACGAACACCGACTTAGCCGTTTTATTTGAATTATTAAAATTGCCGAGAAAGGAGGAATCACTTGGCATCTGGAAACTAATCTGTCCCCAGCTTTGACGTCAATGACCGCGGCTTGGGACCAGCACACCTAATTGGTAATTGGTTCCCAACCAGAGAAATAATATTAATTAATATTATTAGTACTCGAAGTCCCCTCCTGAGTAAATATAAATAGTAGCTGAGCGCTAATGATAGTTAAAGGTAAAAAAAGCATCAAAAAATATGTCTTAAAAGGTTGATATTAGATTCAAGGAATCCCAGCGCACTCGATCAGCTGCGAAATATCTTGGCAGTGAAAGGTGGTATTTGCCCTGACTACCGACGCCTCAGCAAATGGAATAGGAGCCGTATTGTCGCAGAACAAAAGATGAATTACCATTATTATACCATTGAAAGACTACGAATTAAACTACGCCACTAACGAAGGAGAACTGTTGACGATCGTCTGGGCAATAGGCAAACTATAGAACTCATGTACGGTACCAAGAAGGTATGTATTTACACAACCCACCAGCCTCTAACATACGCCTTGTCTGACAGGAACACCAACGCTAAAATGAAGCCGTGGAAAGGTC